AAAAAAAAAAAAAAAAAAAAAAAAAAAGAAATAATGGGGGGAGTGGGGGGGGGGGGGGGGGTGGAGGAGAACATGCGAACTGTTTAACTTTCTTGGCATCTGCGACAAAAATTACAGCAAAGAAATTCAAAAAAATATATTTAGGCCTACCTGTATACGAAATGACTTTTTCCAGCATCAGAAAGACTGGTTTTTCAATCACGCTGTTTTTCCAACAAATCTTTATTTTCAAGAAGAGATGCCGGGGATAATATAGAATCGACGACAACACATTTTTCAAATTTCACCATAGAAGCGTATGACGAGTCTGCAGACTACACTGATGTAGCTCTGAAGGGGCTGGACTGAAGCCGATGGTTGGAATCAGGATATCAATTAAAGAATGAAAATCTAGGCTGTTGAGCCTGGCAATGGACGAGGGGAAGAAAGAAGCAGATAGTTTACAAGGCCACAATATGCAAAAATTTGAATGACTACTGTTGTGAAAAGAGTAGAAAGAAAAACAAGACGCTCAAAGAGCTGGACAATATTTGACTTTAAGGCTATGCCTGCTGGATGGAGAGCATGAGCACCAAAAGAAGGATTCGTCCTCCTTTGGCCGGACATCTGGTAAGCCTACATGCACACACAGATACACACCCTTGAAAATGGGGTTGACAGTATTGTATCCCATCTTCCTTCCAAGAAGCAAAGCTAGTATCTATAAGCTTTTCCTCCTTGAGTTTTCCCCCAACAGCAGCCCATGGAAAAGTTTGGACTGAGTCATCGTGATGAGCATTATTTCAGCCCTTTTATGATATTTCCATATCAAACTTCCAATCTGGCTTTATTCTGCGGTTTAATTTAGTTGGGAAAGGTTATTTTGCTGTTGCTTTGGTTGAAACAGTTGGGAATAATCTCTCTACGCTAACTTTTTTTTCATCCACCAAAGTTTCTGGCCTTTTAAGTTTGCATGTGTAGCGTGTAGGCCAGTGTTTCTCAACCTTGGGAACTTTAAGATGTGTGGACTTCAACTGATGCCAGAATTCCCCAGCCTGCATCAGTTG